AAAACTAGTTGTCAGAAAGATTGTGTTCCTTCTGCAGCCTCCAGGGGAGAGTCCATCTGCATTTCTTTCTTAGCTTCTCCCTCCACCTTCATAGCAGTGTAGCACCTCAGCTCACAGACACACACACTCTCTCCCCCATCATGGCATCCCCTCTCTGCTTCTGTCTTCACACCATCTTCTATAACTCTGACCTTTCTGCCTCCCTCTTATAAGGACTATGGTGATTAAATTGGGTTCACCAGGATATTGTCCCATATCAGGGTTCTTAATTTAATCGATCCATAAGGTCCTCCTTTCTTTGTAAGGTTACATATTCACATGTTCTGGAGATTAGGGTGCAGAAACCTTTAGGGTGCAGGATCCTTATTCTGTCTGATGGAATAATTAAAATGTATGTGTTTCTATTTGGGCAGTCCTTTGAATTCCCGAGTAGCATGTTGATCAGAATCCTTGTTCCTTGGTACAACTATTCTCTCCTATTCTCTTGGAATCTCTGCCTATACACCAGCCTTAATTATTTTTTTTCTTACTGAGTCATCTGTTATATCAGGCAGCTCATTTAATTTGCTGATACCTTGACCAGTAATCTCTCTCTCTATTTTACTTTGGACATGTTGAATAAGAGACAAAATCATGCCTTAATTCAGGTCACATAATAAATAATATCAAAAAGGTCCCTGATGTCTACCATGTGGCTGCTTCCTAAGCTTTGCTGTCTCATTTCTTCTGCAGCAGAAATTCTTGGAGAAGGGAGACAACCAATGTTTCCTAGGGATTTCACATTTCCCTCACCAAATCTGTTTCCTAAGTTTCAGACTTGAATCTTTCTATCAACACTATTTTCAATAGTTATCCAGAAACTTAAGCAAGAAATATGCAGGAATGATTCAGAATAGTACAGGATACTATATAGGCAAGTGATTAGGAGAAATACTGTGTGAATTCAAGATCTAAAAATATAATTAATTCAAGCCAACAGGAAGGACTACTAGAAAGAGCTCCATCAGGAAAGCTATAGCCTGGATTAGTTGAAAAGATGAGGCATCTCTTTGACTATTCCTTCTATATCTTTTGCTGAGTTCTCTCRTGTAAAATATCGGATTTTCACAGATCTTGTTCTTAGACCCTTTTCACTTTCTTTTCCATTCTCATCAGAAAATGCTGTTCCTTCCAATGGCTTTACTTCCCAAGTATTTGCTGTCAATTTCTCTTCCTGAACTTTTTAGTCCTAGTATTTCTAGTTGCCTACCTGACATTTCTACTTGAATGTCTTTAAAGGCTTCTCAAATCAAATATGACCAAATCAGAAGATTCCAAGTCCAAATTGTGGCATCTATCAAACCATTCCTTTGGAGACACTGTCAGATTCTAACCCAGTCACCATCATTTGTCACTAAACTACTGCAGTAGATTCTAACTCTTCCCCACTTCAGGTTATTCTCCATCTCATTTTCTCTAGGTTCTGTTGCTTTTGCTCTGTTTTTACCGCCCCCCTTTTTCTCTCTCATTGTTTCTTTAGTTCTTTTTCCTTAGCTCTTTTTTTTCCCTTTAGCCACCTTCCTTCTTGTTTCCCCTTTTCTCTGTGAAACTCATCACTATTTCACTTATATTTGTCTTCTTAGAGAGCTATTTTAAAACTATGAGTGAGATCTTGTCACCACTACTTTGTTAAAACCCTTTAGCAGTTTTCCACTGCATTCAGAATAAAATTTAATTTCTTCAACTTGGCCTCCTGTGATTTGGCCACTGCCTAACTCTCCAACCCTTTCTCCCAAGCCAGTTCTTGAAATGCATCAGACTTTCTCTGTTCAAAGCCTTTGCAAAAGTCATTCTCTAAGTACATAATTCCTCTTCCTTTCTTCCTCTGGCTAATTCCTACCATTCTTCAATTCAAGCTTTTCCTCTAGCAAAATAATTTCATTCAATTTAATCTCAAGTAGRCCCCTCTCAGAGTATTCTGTTCTTTCCTCCAAAGCAATTACCATGATTTAATATTGTGTATTCAGTTGTATATTTGCTATTTTCAGACTTTCCAACTCGTTTATTACTTTCATTTTGGCAGTAACATGGCTGTTATGTTCACCACTGCCTTTCTTACCTATAGTGCCTAGTTCAATAAAGGGCATGAGTAAATAATTGAGACTGTATGGAGCAAAGGCCCTATGTAAAAAAAAAAAAAAAAAAAAAAAAAAAATCCTGAAGAGTCATTCTAGCAAAGAGGATCTTAGTCACAAATTCTGACTTCTAGTAATGACATGGATATTATAAAACTTTTGCTTCTACTTATAACCATATTTATGTTAGTAAAAGAAACTTTCCAAATTATCATTAATGTTTGAATAATATTAGCCTTATTTTATCTTTTTAATTTGATAAATTATATTAAATGAACTATAATTATGTCTCATCATAAAATTAATAACTCTTCATTTGTTAAATGCTAGCTATGTGTCAAGTACTTTGTATTTATCATCTTAATTTTTACAGCAGTCATTTGAAGGAGATGGTAATTTACTGTTTTTCAGATGAGAACACTGAAGCACCAAGAAATTAACTACCCTATCCCAAGGTCTTATAGCTAGTATATATATGATATAGCTGGAATTCAAAACAGATAAATCTAATACTTTCTACTGCTACAGTGCTGTGCTGTCTTTATGATAAGACATGTTAATACATATTGTGTGTGTGTGTGTGTGTGTGTGTGTTTTTGGGCGGGGGCATGCTGGGACTTGAACCTAGGGCCTTACACATGCCAGGCAAGCATTCTACCACTGATCAACACCTCTAGCCCTGTGAAATATTTTGGTATAGATATGGCATTTCTATTTTCTGGATCAGACAAATAAGAAATATTTAACTCAAAAATTCAAAGCTGGGAAATGTTTTCAACTTCTGAATAAATCATAAAGGATATGTTCTTTGACTGTTTTTCTAAATGAAGCATTAAAAATGATGAAACATTTTTTGAATACATACATACAGACTAGTGTAAAAATACCTGTTTCCTTACCACTTATCTTGAAATAAAACATTTCTGGTTCAGTTGAAAGGCCCTTGTGCATTCCTCCCCAGTCTCCTCCCCCACCCTCAGTAGTAACCACTGTCCCAACTTTGGCATTTATCATGTCCTTGCAGTATATGTATCTTGGCAATAATCTGGTGACAGAGTGATGAATGAATATGTGGGTCAGTAGCAATTAATGTTATTAGCATTTTTTTTTTCCTGAAGAATTTTAACTTTGGTCTGCTTTTTTTTTGCCATTCCTGGTTGAGCCCAGATTTGTATCAGATCTGAGTCATGACACTTAGCTCTCCGCATCATATTTTATAATGTGGGAAAGGAATGGAAAAGTGCTCAGCTTCAGAGCCTACTGCCAAGGGTCCCAAGGATCAGCTCCACAGGTTGTCTTTTTTCCCCATGATCTGAAGTCAGATTGTAATGTAGAGCCTTATTGCATTTGTACTTAGACCCTTTTCACTTTCTTTTCCATTCTCATCAGAAAATGCTATTCCTTACAATGGCTTTACTTCCCAAGTATTTGCTGTCAATCTCTTCCTGAACTTTTAGTCCTAGTATTTCTAGCTGCCTACCTGACATTTCTACTGAATGTCTTTAAAGGCTTCTCAAATCAAACATGACCAAACCAGAAGACTTGTAATCTTGAGTGTCTCATGACTGACACTTTTTAGGATCAGTGGGTTAGGCCCTAATTCAAGTCAAATCTAAGGTAGATGGGCCTGTTCTATGTTTCTCACATTTTCCTGGATTTTAAAAGCTTAGTATCCTTAACTTATGATCTATACATATATTTTTGTATTGTGGAAGATTCCCAATAGGTTTAGAGTGTAGTTTGGACTTTGTCACATGAGATTCCTCCCCTGACCCCCAATCTAAGGGGAACAGCTTCCTTAGGTTGGCAAARAATTAGTAGACTTTTCCTAAAAGACAAAAACAAAAGCAAAGTAAAGTGCTAGTTAAGATTCAGCTTCAAAAAAATTCAGCTTCAAAAAGGAAATATTACGTATTACTGGTTCAGTATAATTGGTTTATATGAAAAAAAATATGACTGGAACTTTTAAGGAAAGATAAAATAAGTAATGAGTGAAAAGCTGGAGTTGTGGCTATGATGCAGAGTGGGGACTAGGGCTAACCAAGGAGCTACTCTCAGGATTCAATGCCTGGGACACAAAAAGATTCAGAAAGAGAATAAAGGATGATTATAAAATATTAAAAACTGGCTCTTTGTGTACTTTGGAACATAGTACTCATTAAGTAATGACTGAATCTTGATAGTTTATAAAAGTTTTTCAATAAAAGCATATATTGATATACATAGTAGCTTTTCATTTATGAGGATACATTACAATTTATGTGAGTACTATTTTGTTAAATAATTTCTTTTTGAAGCTAATCAGATTATTCTTTATTCTATTACACAAGAATGATTTATATATATATATATATATTATATATATATGATTTTGCTAAAGTTCAAGTAACTGAATATTGTGTACAAATTCTTCATTTCTTTCATAAAACTAATTTTGTTGAATTTTTTCATAAAATGCAACTGCTAAACATTCTTCTGATAGCTCCTTTGTGAATGTGTCACTGTTCTTGATTTGCACACGCCTTATAATTTAGACTCTCTTTTGTTTTGGGTTGGCAGTTCCAACTGTTAAAGCTCTTGTCTGATTATGTGGAACTCCATTTTAATGGGAACAGCTTCTTTGCTGCGTTTTTAAAAAATCGTCTCGGAAGCTTCTTACTGTGGATCTTTGTTGGGGACAAAGGATTATTTATGCTAAAGGAAAATGTATTCCCCACTGAATTAGCTCGTGGGAAGCATAACAAGCTCATTAGTAATGCTCACTTGTTCTTTGGCCTTTTGCTGTGGTAGAGAGAAGGAAAATGACATCAAAAAGGACATTCTGTTGTCTTTTGCCTTCCCACAAAGAAAATGTGTTACAGTATTAGACTCTTCAGTTAGGTTTAGCTCAGGTTCAACTTTGGTATCAGAAGAAATGTTCCTGAAAGGAAAGTGGTATGTATAGTTGGCAGTGTGCATGAGGTATATTTGATATGACTTAGAGGAGAAAATAACTTTTCCTTGGAAATTGAAAGTATTTAGTCTTATAAATGGTTTTATATATTATTTTYCTTAATATGTTTTAGTAGAATGAAAAGTAGACTAGCTTATTATGTTTGCTATAAGCAACAAATAATCCTGGGTTTTTATACAGTATGTAATATTCTGAACATTTTTAAGCTTTTCACTTTTCTCCTGAAAATATATTAACAATTACATTAACCTAATTTAACTAATTAAAGTTTTTCTTTTTTTCTGTAGATTTCAAGAATTGTACTTTGAAACTAAAATTGTTATTTCTTTTGTTTATTTGTCTTTTGAATTTTTTTACAGGAAGGAATTGAGTATTTTTGTTTCATAGTTAAAATTGATAGTTATCTTTATTAACTTGTTGACTAGCAGAAAAAGCTTATGGATAAGCTTGTGAATTTATATTAAAGTCCAGATGATCTTAAATGATCCCTATGAAAATCAGTTGAAAGATGCTTGAATTTCAGTATTGGTATTATGATTTTTATATTTATCTTATATTTACAGGGAAAATGAAATTCTGGGAGACTTTTACATAAGCAAAGTCTTATTGTTAATTTTATGTTACTGGCCAGATGCTTCATTAATTCTTTGATACTAGTGCCAGAAACAACATATTAAAGTATATTTCAGGTTTTCCTCTTTCAAGTGAGAAGCATCCTTAGGAAGTAAGAAGCAGGGAGTCATTACTGAGTTCTTTTATAGTCAAACTATTCCAACAGGAAGAGAATGTTTTTGGTCAAATAAGAGAAAAACACATTTTAAAATCTTGTGATTTGGGGATTTTGGGAAGTGGGAAAGCTGCCATCATCTGTATTAATGTTTGTTCTGTTTTCAGAATAGCTGTTTCATTTCCATATAGATGACCATGCAGCCTGCAATTCAAGTAAGTATTTTTCTTGGAAAAATGTCTTTAAAATTTTTTTTAAAGCATTACATTTTGATAGCAGGAATATTATATTTTTGACCTTCTAGTTCTAAAAAGATTTTTTAAGTCTAAGGTTTTATTTGTATTAAACATTTGAAAGAATAAAATATATCGTACAGTTGGTGCATCCATCTTATTTGTACCACTTTGATAAAAGAATTAGAATATTTTATCATTTTCCCCTTATTATAATTTAGTACATAACTGCAGTTAAAAAAACTTTCAGTGAAAACAAATATGTATATATTTTTTTTCTTAGATAATTGTACATTTGCTCTGTAAATGTCTGAACATGACTAGGGGTTAAAATTTGAAATTTTACGGAGTAGATTTTTTTGTTCATTTTATATCTGGGGGTAATGAGACAAGCCAGGATAATCTTATCTTTGATATTCAGGGTTGGTATTTGTTATATTAGTCTTATATCCTTTTGTTTTCTTTACTTTATTATAACTAGAACATGATTGAATATTAACTTAAAGATAAAAGTAATATTTAATATAGTTATCTAGAAATATATAAGCAGCTGATAATACAATGTGCTGGAAAGTAAGAACTTTAGAGTTAATCGGATTCCAGTTCTGATCATCATTCTGCTACTTCTGTTGTGATATTCTAGCAAGTTATTTAACTGTTGAGTATCTTCTGCCCTACCTGTAACGTGAGGATAATAGTTCTTATTTTGCAGGGCAGCTGTGAGGAATCAATGAGATAACGTGTGCAGAGGGCCATCAAGAATGCATAGTACCTAGCAGGTGCTCCAGAAGTTTGGTTGTACCAAACTTGGCACACCAAATTATCTAGTTGTAAAACTGGAGGTAGTACCTGTGACATGAAAGCCTCTCTTTCTTTTGACTAAGAAAGAAGGCTTACCAAGMTAATAATTGATAAAGCTTAGAAAAGAGAATATGTTTATCAAATGGTTAGGAACAACCCTGAGTGCGATTCTGCTTGTATGCCTTCCTATGTTATGTCTCATACCCTTCTGCTCTACTGATGGAGTCCATCATGCTGTTTTTCTTTTGGGAATTGATGACAGTCTCCCCAGAGGTCTTATTCTTCTGATTTGTGTTCTTTCACATTCACATCCATTGTGCCCAGAACTCCTTTATTTCTCAAAACCATTTTGATTTGATTCCTTCACTCTGTCCTCTCTTCATTTCTGTCTTTAAACACTAATTTCTTGTTGATTATAGTTTTTTTTTATTTCTTATAGAGTGCTTTTCTCATTGCCACATTATCCATGTTTTTCTCTTTCCTATGCTGAGGATCTTTAGTAGTTTATTGGTGATTTTTTTCCCCCATGGTTTTGTTTTCTAGTCCTGTGAAATCTCTGATCTAGATTCCACAGGTCCGTCTTTATTGATTCTTTTTCCAGAGTAACCTTGATATCTCTCATGGAGGTTTTTGCTTCTCTCCCTGCTGAAAGTAAGAAATTTTTAGCTCTTTCTCTGTTTAATGTATTGGACAGTTACTTATTTATAAGTACTTTGAAGAGAGGAGACATCTTTGTAATCAATTGATTCTTATTAATTTAATACATTAAAATCTTCCATACCCTACTTTTATGTCCTTCATTCTGATTAATAAAGGAAACATACAGTCTAAAAGTCAATGAACAATAGTTCTTAACTGCTTTGGGGTCATAGTCCTCTTTGAGAATCTGACAAAACCTTTGAATTCTTTCTCGGATAAATGATCCATGTGTAAGCATACAATTTAATTCAAATTGTAAGAAAGCTCATGTATGTAAGTTTATCTGTAAACTGCTTATGGATTAAGAATCTCTGCAATGTGGCAGCTTTCAATACATATAAACAGCATTTAGATGTGCAGTTTTGGTATTAACATCTAATTTTTAATGCTAATATGCTGCTGAGTAGCCCAGGGTATTATAACATCTTCTGCTTACAATAAAAGGAAAATTCAACCTTGGTCTCTTCTCTTAAGTATCAGGAAGTGAGAATGACTTTTGTTAATGTTAACATTTCCATGTTTACACATAATTTTTTCTAAACCTCCCTCCTAACTTATGCTCATCTTTCCTTGATAAACACTTGTACCTGCTCTGCCTGTTTTCAGCTCAGCCAATGATTTAAAAGTACAAATAGCATAATAAAATATGATTGGTTGTAAGATACACTTTGATTTTGATTTTAGAGTCATTTGCTAATATTATTTTCTCAATTATTCAAATATTTTTGATTGAATATTGCACGCTAAGTTACTTTACTGAGTTCTCTGTTAACAAACAGAAATAACACATTTATGAAGGGAAGAACCAGTAAATCTTTGCTATACTCCTTTGAAATTACTTGGAGAGAATTCAGAAAAGTAAATGACATCTTTTTCCTAAATTATTATAGAACCCAAAAAAGTTTAGGAACTCATTCCCTAGTTTCTACCTATAATTCCCAAAATAATGTTCTTCAAATTAAGTTTCATTTTGTCTTTGGATATTTTTATTGGATTTCATTACTCCTACATACCTCTTATATTTACTAATTTTCTTTCTTTACCTTTGGGAGATCTCTCTCTCTCTCTCTCTCTCTCTCTCTCTCTCTCTCTCTCTCTCTCTCTCTAAAACATGTTTATTTCTCATCAGAGGAGACTGAAAGCAGGTTTTAATTTTTTTCCTCCAAAGCTTGTCTAGATTACATGTAGTATTGCTTTGGCTTTTAATTTTGTATAGTAAGACCTACCTCAAATGAATCTTAATGTATTTTAAGGGGAAAATGTTCTATATTTAAAAAAATATCAAGTGGACAGTCGAATGTCTTACCACTTCCAAATATTTTAGTGTGTGTTTAAAAAAAAATCCAGGACATCTTCCTATAAAATCACAGTGAAATAATCAGAATTATATTCTGATATCACATACTACCATTTTATACTCAGGTCATATTCAAATATTGCCAGTTGTCCTGGTAATATCCAGTTCAGAATCTTGTGTTACCTTTTGCTGTCTGGTTTCTTTTTGAGTCTGAATCAGTCTAGAATGGTATCTTTCTTTGCCAGTCTGTAATGACTTTGACACTTTTGAATATTTTAGAACAACCTTTTTATAGAATGTCCCTTAATTTGGGTTTGCGTGATGTTTTCTCATTATTGGGTTCAGGTTGTACATCTTGGCAGAAATATTACTTAAAAGATGCTGGTTTTTCTCATTGCATTCTATCGGTGGCATATGGTTATTGACAGTGTTCACCCTGTCACTTGGTTATGATACTGTCACGTTTCTCTACTATAAAATTACTCTTTTTTTCCCTAAGTAAGTATTTTGAGCGTAAATGATGTTATAAACATCCCAATACTTGTAAAAGTTTCAACCTATTTATTTACATCTGTATGGACTCATAGTTGTCTATTTTAGTCAATGTGGTATAATCTATTCCTGTCATTTATTTACCCCCACTGTAGCCAATAGAAGTCCCTTCAGGCTAGTTTTTGTTCTCTTTTCATGTCCTCATATCTTTTGAGTGCTTCTTTGCTTTCTGATAAAAGGTCATAGGGTTCATTCCCCCCCCACCCCACCCCCCGCCCAATTCCATATTTGTCCTTTCTTCTCTGGCAATGAGAAATCTGGCTTCCATTGGGTTCCCTTATTATCCTGCTCAGGATCTGACACTTTGCATAATCTTATCCCCATATGTGGATGACCTCTCAGTTGTTCTAAGCAACTGCCCTCCAAGAACCTTCTGGTCACTTCACTTGGGTCCTAATACCCCTTCCWGAATTATTCAGGAAGGAGAAGGACAAAGGCTATTGTCACTTTTGTAAAAAATGACTTCATGATGACATCATTACTTCTTTTACAACTTAAAGAATCAATAGTCTTTTCTATAAATAATCTTATATTAAAGCATATCTAGTTGTGTTTAAAATTTTGTAAGTATTAATTTGGTGATATGGTTACATCAATTTTTATTCTAAACCAAGGATTGTTTATGGGTAAATATTTTTGGTTTAGTGGGTCAGTAGGCAAAATCAAGGCTATGAAATAGATACTTACATAACAACAATTTTAAAATGTAAAATTCTCTTTTAACTTGTGGGCCATACAAAATCAAATGACAGACAAGATTTGCCTCATGGACCTAGTTTTTCTCCCTCTCTCCTTATTTTAGTTTTTAAAGCTGAGGATCAAACCCCAGGTCTTGCATATGCTAGGCAAGACACTTCCACTGAGCAACATCTGTAGTTCCCACTCCCTTATTTTAAATCAAATATTTAGAAATTAATTTTTTAAAAAAGCATTGTTTTTATAATGTAAAGTTTAAAATGCCATTTACATTTTATTAATTGTCCTTTCATTCAACAAATGTTTATTTAATCTCTATCTTCAAAGCCCAATGCCAGTTGCTGCAAAGATATCTCTTGAAAAGCAGATATCATTAACCCATTTCACAGCTGAAATTCTCAATCTCTGGTCAAGTCATTGTTAAACTTATTCAGCTAACAAGTGGAGGAAAAATATTTGTTGAATTTTATCCTCTTGGCTCAATAGTAAAATCCATTCATTTATTAGGGGTTTACCTTGTCACTATTGTATTAAATATTGAAAATGTTTCAGGTATCTAAACTAATAGTTGCTTCTAATTTATGTATTTTCTATGAGTTGATACAGTTTTGTGCATGAGTATATTGTGTCTGGCTTATACTTTGCCATTTAAATGTAGATGTGAATCATGGTAACTGTTACCAAGTTTGCATTAATTCAGCCAATTGGTGTTTTCTCTAGGTGTGGTTTGGAGAAGATCTGCCTCTAAGTCCACGGAGTCCTCTGACCCCCAGACATGGACCAGGGTTGGCTGATGTTTGTCAGTATGATGAGTGGATAGCTGTGAGGCATGAAGCTACTCTGTTGCCTATGCAAGAAGATCTGTCTATCTGGTTATCTGGTCTATTAGGTAAGGTTTGCCAAGAGACCCCAAATTATAATCTCTTATTCAATAAATATTTATTTAGAACCTTACTTTTTGTCAAGGAATATTGGTTCTAGATGCTCTAGTAAAATTAAATGTTTAAGTTGCTTGTTCCTACCAAGCTTAAATTCCCTCCAGTTCAGGGGAAATACTGTGGTTCACCCTGAACCTTGGGTCTGGGATAGTAGGAAATTTGAGATTTAAGTGAGAAGGTCAGTACTTTTGAATAATTAACATTTCATTGTTTATATTAAAATCTTTTTCTAAAAGTACATAGGTCTATTTTTTTTAACTGATCTTTCCACAGTCTTGTGTAAATCATTAGATTCTGAGTGAAATTTATATTGTAATTAAAATAATTACTATTTCTGAGACATTGAGGATTAGAGACATATGAAACAAAAGGAAATGTCAAGTTAGAGAATATCTGTCATTATATGTTTTACTCTATTAGAGAGTATGATGAATTCTTTGAACTTTCTAACCAGAAAAATTCACTTTAAGTACAGAATTTTATGTGGCATTTCAAGATCATCTATGGTCCTCCTAAGATAATTAAACACACATGAAAYACTGGATCTGGTTATCTGATAACAGTTTGATGATTTGGATAATTTAAAAAGTTTTTAATGTAATAATAATGCTTTTAAAGGTGAAAAGTTGGCATTGTCTGACTATTATGGTATTAGATTTAATTTTTAAACTACAACAAAATCAATCTTATTTATAAAAAATCCTCTTATGCAAACTATTAATATTCAATGAATTTATTTTAAATGAAACATGTCAATTGTCTTTATCTTTTTCTGCAGTAATACATCACAGATATTTTTGTTTCGGTTGGCTTTCATTTAACTTGACCTTATTTGTTTTAACTATTCTTCTAAGAGGGAATATTTTGAGTATGATCAGAATTTGTTTTGTTTTTTAGCTGTAACCTAATTTTATTTGATTAAATTTTAATCATTTTATTTGAATTTACTCTTTTTAGAAGAACCTTACCTTTGAAATTTGTTTTTAGGTATTGAAGTTAAGGCAGAAAGACTATTGGAAGAACTTGATAATGGAGTGCTCTTATGCCAATTGATTGATGTTCTTCAAAATATGGTGAAAGCATGCAACTCTGAAGAATCAGGGGTAAGTAAATGTTTGATAGAGGTGATATTATACCTTGGTTGGTATAATTTAATTTGTTTATGTATGTTTCTTTTCATCTTTACAAGGTTGTAGAYTTCTATCCCACAACTGGCTATGATATTTTGAAGAATTTACTTAGGCTTTTTGAACATCTGAAAAGATGTTTTCTGTGGAGATATTAACATTTGTCCTGTGGGATTTATTTGTGTTTTAATCAGTTTTTTTTTTCCTTCTTCTTCTTCTGCTGTAACCAAAAGACCTGATAATTTAATGAGAACAATTTTAGAGGAAGAAAAGTTTATTTGGGGGCTCATGATTTCAGAGGGCTCAGTATATGAACAGCTGGCCATTCCTCAAAGTCTGAGATAAGGCAGAACATCATGGTGGAAGAGTATGGCAGAGGAAAGCAGCTGGGGACATGGTTCTGGGAAGCACAAAATATAAACCCCAAAGGCACACCCCTAAGGACTCACCTCCTTCAGCCGTACCTTGTCTGTGTATAGTCACCACTCGGTTAATCTTATAAGGGAATTAATGCGCTGATAGGGTCAAGGCTTTCATAATCCAATCATTTCACCTCTAAACCTTCTTGGAATGTATCACACATGAGCTTTTGGAAGACACCTAATATCTAAACCATGGCAGTGAGCATTCATTGAAATTAAATGAGATAATATACAGATAGTATCTAGCATAGTGCTTGATGCATTGTGGCTAACTCTTCTTAAGATCAATGATCATACCTTCCTTATAGGGTACTTCCTTACAGGGCCAGATGTTTATAAGGGTTAAGTGAGAAAAGAGCCTGTGATAGTTATTGGCACACAGGTAGCTACTATCATCATCAACATTATTATTATCTTCTTTATAGTCTCTATATAGTGTCTTGGTAGTAAATTCTTTAAAGCTTGAATAATTTTTAAAATATTTATTTTTTAATTGTAATTTGGCACAATATCTTTATTTTATTTATTTATTTTCAAGTGGTACTGAGAATTGAACCCAGGGCCTCACACATGCTAGGCAAGTGCTCTACTGCTGAGCCACAACCCCAGCCCCAAAGATTGAATAATTTTAATAAAATTTTTCTTCATTGACCCTTAGGTCATGATTTGAAATAGCTCAGATTTTCTTTATTTTCATCAGATGTAGGTGTTTTCAAAAGTTTTAGATGTAGACACTCATATACTGTAAGTGRAAATATAAAGTGGTATCACTGTTTTGGGGGACAGTGAACAAGACGTATATACATATATGTAAAACATTGAGATTAAACCTCATCCATCAGTATAATTCTTTACTTCTTGGAATTTATTCTAAGAAAATTACCAATTTATAAAAATGTTAGTAAAAAAATTTAGGAACAACCTAAATGCTCTTCAATAAAAACATGTTAAAATTAATTAAGGTTCTTAAACACATTAGAATATTGTACATTTACTAGAAATGATTATTTAAATCTATTATTTTCAACCCTTAAAGATTCCTGCAACCTGTCAATAAGAGTTCGTGTGCACATACATACACACCAAATTGCGGAGTAGTATCTTTATGTGACATTTGGTAGGTACAGCTGCATAAATAGCCATGCCTAGAGATGTCCCATGAAAATGGGGAGAATTTCAGTGGGTACTATTTACCTTTGTATTTACTGTATTGTTTATTTTTTATAATGATTACATAGTCTATTAAAAAAAAAGCCTTACCTCTGAAAGATAATAGGAACAGGATATACCTTATATAAAGGGTATATAAGGAACTGGTCATAGTGACTATCTCTAGGAAGAGAGAACTAAGGGGCGGAGGTGCATATTGTACCTATTACATTAAAAAATCATTTTCTTGAATTGTTTTCTCAAGTAGAAATTTAAACTAAAGCAAAGTAACTCCATCCACCTCAGCTTCAGCAGATTATCTAAATAAATATTCTTGGACCTGATAATAAAAACTTAGGGATCTGTGAAATTTAGACTGTTGACTTTTCAAAGAACCTGAATTAAGAATGGACAACTACTTCCTTTTTTGATAGTGTCCTTGAGAAACTCAGGACTGACTTCATGAATCTCCATGAAAGGAAGTTAAAAAAAAAATGAGTATGTTTGTTAACTTTGAGCATAGCCATGATTTTGTATGGAGAAATATACTTTGGAATTGTCAGACTTTCCTTCTTCTGTCATTTTTAAAAAAGAGAGATTAAAGAAGTCTGATCCTACTGATAATTTTGACCAGTTTATTTTCTAAGGAATCATTTTCTGAGTTTACTAAAAGTGAAATAAAATCATTTTTAAAGATATTTTCAGGCTGGGGATGTGGCTCAAGCGGTAGCACGCGCTCGCCTGGCATGCATGTGGCCTGGGTTCGATCCTCAGCACCACGTACAAACAAAGATGTTGTGTCCACCGAGAAAATAAATAAATATTAAAAAAAAAAAAAAAGATATTTTCTCCCGGGCTAGAGTTGTGGCTCAGTGGTAGACTGCTCATCTAGCATGTGTGAGGACCTGGTTCCGATCCTCAGTACTGCATCAATCAATCAATCAATCAATCAATCAATCAATAAAATAAAGGTATTGTGTCAATTACAACTAAAATTAAGTATTTAAAAAAAGATATTTTCTCCCTAAAGTTGTGTACTTTTTAGTTAAATTCAAAGCAATAATCATTTATTTTATAATATTGAAATGGATGTCTAATAAAAAGAACCTTATGTCTTTTCCAGAATTTTCCAATGAGAAAAGTGCCTTGTAAGAAAGATGCTGCATCAGGTTCATTCTTTGCCAGAGACAATACTGCCAATTTTCTTCACTGGTGTAGAGACATTGGGGTTGATGAAACTTACCTCTTTGAATCTGAAGGTTTAGGTAAGTGGTATTGCTATCATTGTTAGAGTTTTTAATGTTTGTTAGGGTATTTTGTGTCCCTCCCTTCTAATTTTTCTTTCCAAATAAGGACTCAAAATTTCATCTTTCCAAATAGTGACTTACAATGCCGTATCTCAGTTTCTTAGAAAAATTTTTACTTTAATTTTATGTTGAACAATTGGAGAATCATATATTAAATTAAATACATTAAGCTTTTCATTTATAGTTAAGTATTTTATATATTTAGAATGTCCCAACCATATTTTATTTAATGAATTGGTTGTGGGAAGTTCTGGACTAATGCTTACTAATTAATGTTTTCATCAAGTTTACTTTACCAAGTTTAAATTACTAGTAATTTCTGTTTAATCGGATAATTACATAAATAAATAATAGAAAGCCAAATGGTGTGTGTTTATAGTGTTTAGATTTACCTTGTAAACAACCGCTGCCAACTTGATTATCCAAATGGATTAATGTTTTTGATTATTCATTTTTGAAAAGTCATGCTTTACTGAAGAATTATTGACATTATTTTCTCATTTCCTTTAAGTCAATAGAAGCATCAGTATAGTTATTAAAGTGGTAGCTATTTTTAGACTATACACACATAGATACACACACACATACTTCAAAACATTTATATATGTATATAAATCTGTATATATGTCTACAATACACAAGTAGAATTTACAATGCTATGATGTGAACAGTAGCCTATCAAGGGTAGGCATGGTGGGAATCTGCCTTGGTAGGGAAAAGTTTTATCACTGACATTGTTTACAATTGCTAATTTTGTGGGGATAATAAAAGGCAAATTGACTTTTAATTGGTGTTACTATAGTCTTTAAATTTACTTCTGACAGTGCACATCCTTATCACCTGTACCACTGGATACTCCTATCTAGGGTAGAAGGAAGTGGGTTATTCTTTCACCCCTCAGTATACACCCTGCTTTTAGTCCAGGTGTGTTGATCACTGCTAATAATGTAGTTGATTTGATGGCACATCCAGCTTCTAGAAATCAAAGGGAAAAGGAAATGCTTTGCCTTCTCTAGTTTCTAGTTTTCTGGCTCTGAAAGAATATAAGATTGTTGTATATTTTTCATTATCAGTAAGAGATATCTCTGATTATCCTGAAGCTCACTGTCAATACCAGTAATTCAGTTTTAGGTATTGAACTGATGATCTAATTTTTTTACTCTCTAAAGGCCTCAGCAACGAGCCTCTTAAATGTTTACATTTTGCTAGTAACTCAAAGCAATTTAAGAGAAACAAATGCTAATTTTAGGTAATCCTAAGTGTTTGGAAAAACAGATTTTAAAAAATTAGGATAAATTCATTTGTTGTTATGAATTTTAAACTTGAATATAGGCTTTTTTATTGCTTTGAAAAACAATACTTTGTGCTTTGGGTATATTATAAAGTGCTATTCAGAAATCAAAGAACAAATGCCATTTCTGTTGGAGGGATCAGTGTACATAAAACTCACCACACATTATACATTATTAGATTCAGATTCAGAAATTACCTAGAGTTTCTAATGAGGACCAGAACAGAAAGAAGATGATTTACAATTACTATATTGGTACATTTAACATGAATTCTGTGATCAGGACTTTTTTAAAAAATTTTTATAAACAGTATCTCTGTTTACCTTTATATTCTGAGTTACCTTTATATTCTCCTCTTTTGTTTTTGTGACGTTTAAGAGATAATGGCATATAGTCAAAGATAATTTAGGGTAAAATTGAGGTGATATATTTCTTCTAATGTATCTCCTATTGAGAGATCCGAAATAAAAATAGTGTAATATTACTAAGCCCTTAGTTTTCAAAAACTAAAATGCTATAGAAATTGGATCCATGGTAAATGTTAATCCTTTTCTTTTTAGCCAGTTTTAAAAAATAATTTATAGAAAATAACAATATGTGGAGAAAATAAAAATGTCTTTTCTAAGTCTTTTCCAAACAAGTAAACCCACTGTCTCCATTGTTCTTTTCTTTCTCTCTTCCATGTCAAAAAAATTTCTAATTCTCCTCCTTAAAATATGTTTTTATTTTCCCACAGTTTTACACAAAGATCCAAGACAAGTATATCTTTGTCTGCTTGAAATTGGCCGCATTGTGTCAAGGTATGTATTCCACAATATTTCAGAATTTCAGTGTCATAAGCTCTTTTAAGTTACTTAATTTTAGCTTAGATAGAACATGGTTTTCTAAAATGAAAGAAAGTGATTCTTGATTGAAATGAAGTAACCTAATTTCCTATATTATCTTTCTTTTTGTGTCTTTATTTGTTCTATTTGCATGAGCATATGTCAACATTTGTTCCCTCATGTATCTTGCTTCATTTAATATTAAATTGTGAAAGTGATTACTTAAAATGTTTAGATTAAGAATAGGGCAAGGGAATGTAGTCCTAAAGCACTCCAAGGCAAAGCAATTTCTGAACACAGGATCTGACAAGAAGGATAATGCTTGGTATGCCCTAAACCTTCTTTACTTTCTGGCTGATTTTAAAGCCAAYGTTCAGGATCTCAGGAAGAATATAGAGAACTATAGTAACCAAATACATGCAATGATGTGAAAGTTGTAATCTTGATTTTTGGTAATCTGTGAGACATTAAAAAGGCACTTGTAGCACCACATAAAAATAAATAAATAAAGGTATTGTGTCCAACTACAACTAAAAAATAAATATTAAAAAACAAAAATATTTTTTTAAAAAAGGCACTTCTAGATGTCCCAGTGAAACAATTGGTAGAAGAGAATCATATGAGCTCTGCTCTAAAAATAAAAGGCAATCTATCTTGATATACAAGGAAGTTCTTGGTCCACCTTTGCTTGAATGATCAGATTTTCTGGCTTATTTTCAGATATGGGGTTGAGCCACCAGTGTTAGTAAAACTTGAGAAAGAAATTGAGTTAGAAGAGACCTTGCTTAATACTTCTGGACCTGAAGATTCTATCAACATACCAAAATCTTGCTGTCAGCATGAAGAGCTACATGAAGCTGTAAGTAATCACCATATTTTCTTTTGACTATCCTACCTGAAGTCTCATAGTTTCATGCTTTTCTATACTGCCACTGGTTATACTGTGTTTAAAAGAAAATATTTCTTATTCAGAATACCAGTTCTGAATAAGAATACCAGTTCTGAATAAGAATACCAGTTAATAATCCCCACTCTCTGATGGGTACTTTATCTTAGAGGAGATTTGTCATTTCTTGCTTATGATGAGGAATGAATATGTAATTGAGGAATCATGGGGCAAAGAGCCTGAAACCTATCATGAAGGGTACTATAAGCTGCAAAAATTCATTAATTCTTTTTTAAAAATATGATAGTATTATAATCTCACAAATGATTAGGATTACTCTCATGGTCATATAAAGGTTAAGTTGGTTTTATGGTAATAATCCAAATATAAGATGTTGAGAACTTGAATTTGAGCAGAAATGGGCAGAGAGCCAAAGGAACAATTATAAGCCATGTTTAGGAGATAGAATTGACAGGAATTAGTGACTGATTATGAGGGAAGGAGAAAATCTAAGGTGATTTCCAAGGTGAAGTAGATGATATACTGATACTTAGACAATATAGGAAGAAGAAAAATTGTAATGGAAAAATCAATTTTTTTAAATATTCCCCCTCATACAATCTTTACATATTTGTTAGACAATGGGTTACAATGGAAGATTTTCTTAACTTTACTTGTTCATTCTATAGAAGTTAATAGAATTACATTCCTTAGGCTGTGGGTCCCTGCAATGACTACTGTGTAAGTGATAGAGGTAAACCGAGTATCAAACATATTCCACTGATTGTTCTTTAGAGTAATTCAAAAGTTTATAGCATTTTATAGAAATGCTTAATGTCCAAAATTCTTTTAAAATAATGAATAAATCATTACTAATAAACATTTAGAAAGTATTGCTTTGATTGATTTGTTTAATATAACAAAAGTCATTGATAAAACATTCAGATAGCATTGCAAGACAAGTTTAAGATTATATCAGCCATGCCTTTATCAGATCAAAATATATTTACCTACATTATTTTATTGATACATTTGGTGACCATAAGTAATCAATGCAGAAGTAATACAGCCAGTAAAAGGTAAAATTTATTTAAAATTTTTTGTAACCTTAAAGACTATAATAAAATATAAAGGAAATAGCAGGAAAATATTTTTATTAAGTGAGAAATATAGTATGTTAATTTCACTATTATTTGAAGACTATGAAATTTTTAGTAGGGAAATGGGCAGAGACTATGGTCACACAAACAGAAAGTACAATGTTGAAACTTGCTGATAATCAAGGAAATCAGATTAAAATAGCTCTGAAAAACCATTTGTCCCAATAGCAAACTTTCTTAAAATTATGAAACCTGGGCTGGGGATATAGCAAACTTTCTTAAAATTATGAAACCTGGGCTGGGGATATAGCTCAGTTGTAGAGTGCTTGCCTGGCATAGCTGAGGCTCTGAGTTTGATTCCCAGTGTTGAAGGGGGAAAAAACAAAACAAAACAGTACCCGTAAATTCTGGTGAAACTACACTTAAGGATTGCTATTAGTAATGGAAAATGATGCATACTTTTWAAAAAAAATTGACAGATATCATGAGCTACAAAAATATTCCTTTTCCAGTTTTATTATGATTGAAAACAGGAAAAACAAATAAAAATGCTTATTGCACTATTTMTATTGGTAAAAATTGTAAGTAGTATAAAAAACTTCCAATGGGGAAATGGCTTAGTGAATTAGGATTCATTATCTTAACAGAATAATAATTTTATGTGGTCATCATGACAACTGTGTAGCAACAAAAAAATGTTTATTTTGTGAAAAATATGTATATATAGAAACAAAGAGAATGAAAATAATAGTAATGTATCATTGGAGATAATTTTTTTAGCTATTTCCTTTAGTATTCTGATATTAATTATGCAATAAATAAAACCAGAAGCAAACACTTCTTATCCACAGTTCTTATTTTAGAGTCATTGTCTTATTGAGCTTATGGGTAAGTGCTGATGGTTAGCACTAGCAATATTGTAGTACTCAGTGGTTATTTCAATATTTTAAACAAGGAAAGTGACTTCTGAGATCAATGTTCTTGCTATGGAAACTACAAATGAACACATTTCCTTACATATGTACTATATGGATATTTTTATTGTCCACTTATAAATATATGATCTTGGGTAGATAATTAAGGCAATCAAATAAATTCCTCAGTGTTCAGCTAAATTGGGCCTACCTGAAGAGAATTTTTTTAACATCATACCTAAGTCAAATTCAATTAATTTATTTAGATATCTTCTGTGTGACAAGTAATTGAGAAAAATATTCATGATCTTATTTTTGCAAAATGTGATTTTAGAGAAAAGCCAAATATTTTTGATAGTGGCATATATATGACATTTTTTCAGACAGATTTTTAAAAAGTCTTCATTCAATCAATTTATTTTAATTTCCATGTTTTAAATGTAGATCTCCCCCACTCCCCTGTAATGGGAACTGAACCCAGGGGCACTCTACTACTGAGCTATATATACCCTAACTCTTTTTTTATTTTTTTTTTAAACAAATACAACTTTTTTATACCTTTTTTTTAAACAAATACAACTTTTTTATACCTTCTTTTTTGTTTCATTTTTATGTGGTGCCAAGGATCAAGCCCAGTGCCTCAAACATGCTAGGCAAGTGCTCTACTGCTGAACCACAACCATAGCCCCTCTTTCCTATTTTTTGTGGGGAGACAAGGTCTTGCTAAGTTCCCCTGGCTGGCCTCAAACTTTCTATCTTCCAGGCTCAGCCTCKGAGTAGCTGGGATTACAGGTGTGTACCCAGCTTGAATATGGAGTTATTGAATTTCTTTTTATATTTACTATGGTTCTGCCATCTTCATTTTTCATTTACTGAGATAAAAATAATTCTTGAGGTATAGAAGTGGAGTTTTCCCCTGATTCCTTTCTCCTTAGCAGACTATTGAAAGAGAATAAACACTTTTAGAAAAATGCTTCTTGAATTGAAACTTTTAAGAATCTTACCTAGTCATGGGTGAATAGATAGGAATATGTCTTTGTATATTTAAATAACTTTGAATAAATCTTAGTTTAGTACAATATTAAGGGAGAAGTTAAAATTCCTCCTTAGCCTTTATCTGGCCAGTTTTTGATTTGACACAAATGCTTAATTCCACAAGTCAAGCTTAATAATAGTCTCATATGTTTCCTTAAACTCACCAAATGTGTTTTGACTTGACCTCCCTATTCCACATTTGCAGACCTTCTTCAGCTGTCATGAGCACAGTGCAAGCCTGACTGCATTTTGGGCAGAGAGAGAGAAAGGGAGGTCTAGATTCCATCACTGTTGGCTTTTGTGTTAGATTGGCAACATCTAATCTCAGTATTTGTTAATAAGTAAAGGAGAAGAGATACTATATAGTTAAACTTTTGTCTTTGTGATTTATCTTCCTATCAAATAACATTGCATTTTAACTTTAAACAAAATACTTTGTATAGTTAGCACCAAATTTTGTTACATATTTTAAATCTTAGGTTAAACATATTGCTGAAGATCCTCCTTGTAGTTGTTCCCATCGATTTTCTATTGAGTATTTATCTGAAGGACGATACCGACTAGGGGATAAAATACTCTTCATAAGGGTAAGTCTACTATTTACAGTCTGTAAACACATAGATCTTGTTTTAGAATTGATTTTATTGCTTTACCAACTCCTTTGCACCCCCTTTGCTTTTAAAAAAGTTGGAATAAAGGATGCTATTAATGGAAGAATTTCACTGTACATCACCATAAGATGTCTAATAAGATTATTATCCATAATAAGTAAAGAAAACAGAAACACTACATTATATAGAATTAAACAGAAATACTACATTATACATTATAATGATATATACTTTGGGCCTTAAGCATAGGATCTTTTTTTCTTATTGACATAGCATCAGTATGCATACCAATCTGTTGATATATATGTTCATTACCTTTCTTTGTCCCATCTGCAATTGATTACTTGTCCCCTTTTCTGATTAACAGATTGAAATTTCACTTGTTTAGCATTCTTTTTACTTCTGATACAAGAGCTATTTTTCCTTGATCTATGAACATAAAAGATTTAAATATATAACTTCACCATCCATATTTTCTTCTCTTTCATGTGTTTTCATTCCATTTCCACCCACTGTCCTGCTTTCACAGAAACACCTGCATATACTTTCTTTTTTTWAAAAAAAACAACCGCAATTTTATTTATTTATTTGTTTGCTTGCAGTGCTGGGATTGAACCTGGTGCCTTGTGCGTGCTAGGCAAATGCTCTGTTACAGAGTCACATGCCCAAACCTCTTTCTGTCTTTTAATTAACTTCCTTTTTAAAGGCGATATGATATAGTGAATGGTGCACAGAGGATGGGACTTAGAGTTAAAACTTGTGGCTAGTCTCATGCAGTTGTGTAGATTTACCAGCTGAGTGGACAGGGGCCTGAAATTCAGCCTGGTCTGTAAGAATCAGAGTTTGTCTTATCCCTGCAAAAGTGTCATTTGGGTTAGGGGCTGGCAACCCAGAACATTTGAGGTCAGGTTCAAATTTCTTAACCTCTCAAAGCCATAATTTTCTTATCTGCGAGGAAGAAAGAATAATAAATTAAATCCACGTATTTTGAAAATTAAACTAATATATGAAAATAATTTATTAATTTATAAAATACAAGATCTCGTTTATTTTTATCTTTTTTTCCCTAATTATTTTTTTCTTTAGTATGAAGCATTTTTTTTCACTTTTAGTCACCATTTCTCTTTCTCTTCCTCTTCTTCCCTCACTCCTCTTTCTTTCCTTCAGTATTCAATTCTTCATTGTACTGCTCTTGCAATTTTGTATATTAACAGTTTAGATTTTTAGCATGTAAATAATATGTAAATATTTTCATTACAAATTGGAGGACTTCGGTTGTTATTTGCATAGTTTAAGACTCATTAAATTTATTATATTAACAATATAAGAGGGCTGGGGCTACAGCTCAGTTGGTAGAGTGCTTGCCCTGAGTTCAATTCCCAACACCACCAAAAAAGAAAAAGAAAAACAAGAAAGAGACAGTCAATTTATAGTCAAGCTGTTGACAAATACTGAGTTTCATAGATCATAGATGTAACAATTTGTGGCTGTTAATAAATTGTAACTCTAAACCTCATGCTTTTTCTGCTTTATTTTCCACTTTCTTTGGGGGCAGATGCTTCATGGAAAACATGTCATGGTCCGTGTTGGAGGAGGCTGGGATACTCTTCAAGGATTTTTGCTTAAATATGATCCATGTCGAACATTACAGTTTGCTACACTAGAACAAAAAATTCTAGCATTTCAAAAAGGAATTTCTAATGAAAGTATACCTGATTCACCCAGCAGAACACCTCAACTTCCTGAAATGAATCCTTTGTCAGCAGTTAACATGTTTCAGAAACAAAACTTAAAGCCTAGCACGCCAGTTGGTATTCCAAGGAGCAAGGAAAAGCAGGTTCACCCAACAGGTGTATTGCTGCCTGCTTCTTCATTAAAAGGTAATACAGGCTCCATGTCAGTCCGTTCAAAATTTCCAGATTCTTCAGCATCTTCTCATCTCAAGCTCAAGTCTTCAAAGGGTGTAACAAAGAAACCACTTGCTCCTTCAAACAATGTTTCATCTTCCCTTGCTTCTTTAAATCCTGTAGTTAAAAACACTTCTTCACCACCTTTATCAAGAACTGGACCTTGTGTATCTGAGTCAGTGAGAAAATGTGTCACATCCCCCAATACTCTTAAGGTCAAGGCTCTTCCAGGCCAGAAATCTACAGGTGTGCTTGARCCTAAACTTTTGCCAAATAAGTGTTCTGGAAAAACTCAATCAAGGTACTTGAAACACAGTCACATTTCTTCTAGGGACGATGCATTATTTCACTCACCTGCACTTGTAAGTTCATCAAAGTGTCCACAGTTACCAAAAGCAAATATACAGGTAAGGCCTAAACCTTMTCCTTCTTTTCAGTCCCCTAGAAAAATGGCAAAACCCAGTTCTAAAACCACAGCTACAGATCTAGGAACACAGACTCAAGCATCTAATGGAAGCCTACAAACAGGGGCAATCCCAGCACAGAAACTTAAATCTGCCTTGAATTTAAATCAACCAGTTTCTGTATCTTCAGTTTGTCCTGCAAAAGCTGCACAAGAATTGAAAGATAAGAAGATAGTTTCAGGTGCCAAAAAGCAGCCTCAGAATAAAAGTACATGCCAGAAGACAGGATCCAGCTCCTCAAAGTCTCCTGGTCGTACCCCACTGTCCATTGTGAGTCTTCCCCAGTCTGCTGCCAAAACACAAACTGCACCAAAGTTAGCACACCCTGCCCCTAAGGGCCAGTATTCAGCTAAAGGGCCTCCAAAGAGTGGCAAACCCCAAGCTTCAACCAGGAAACCACCCTCATCTGGTAAGGGAACAGATAGTGGAGAAAAAAAACCTACTGCAAAGAAAAAGGAGGATGATGACCATTATTTTGTTATGACTGGAAGTAAGAAACCTAGAAAATAAATACATGTGGGTCACTTTAAGAAGTCAGAAGAAAGGAGCAAAATGAATGAGTTAGCTTCAAATCTTAAAGGTTTTTCCTGTTTGTGTTTGTTCAAATAGGTGCAGACATTAAATATAAGAAGGTAGGGGATGGAGGTGGAGGCTGGATTGAGGAGAAGGCTCATCAGAAGTCACATGTCTGAATTCACTAGAAGCTATCCTTCTGAGGCAAACAATTGTAGAATCACCAAAGGGTTCTTATTATTATAGACATACAGGTAATTTTTAAGCCATAGCATCTTGTTAATGTCTGTCTGTTAAGGGAAATGTAAAAGTCAAATAACACTACTAGAATTATAACTATAGTTGTTATATTCTTATTATAACTATAGTTGTTATATTTTTGAATGGGTATTAAACATGGAGGTTTTATACCTGCTAATGGCAACACTGGTGCTTACATTAAGAGTTACTACATTTCAGTAAGAAAGCAACGGTTTTGCTTTTGTCCCATAAAAGGTACCTAATTTAATTTCCTCATCAGGATTACCTGATTCAGCAATACTAAGTACTAATGGCTGCTGCTGATTAGCATGGCATCACTCTGGGTTAGGTAGAATTCTTATTATTAAATATTTTCAAGTTTTCCAAATCAGAAGGAGCTGATTCTTTTAATCTGGCTTATATTGGCAATGATATTTTATCACCAATATTTTGGTTAAAAACAATTAAATAAGCTTATTGAAATATAAGCAAATTTAGTAAAAACAAAATAAGATTTTGCATACATCATCTGTAAAAATTTAGATACCTTATAATTTTAGATGGATGTTGTGCAGTATTAGAGCAGAAATGGATTTATTGGCTTTCATCATGTTACAGATATTTTAAATGCAATTCCCTATGAAAACATGTATGAATTTTTACATTAAAATGTTTTAACAATCTTAAAATTAAGATGATATTAAAAGAATCTTTGAGTGATACTGTATATAAATTCTATAAAATGTTATTTCTTTTGATAACCAGTTTTAATTACATTCTTCCAATTCTGTTAATTTTCTTTAATTAAGTTAAAGCAGACAGCASGTATGCTGCACTTTGTTCTCTAGGCAGATACTTTCAAGAAACTACCCAGATTTTGTATGAGTGTATAGACTCATCYACCCAAAGTGATAGTGGTAAATAATTTATTTAAGGGATTGTGACTATTTAAAAATTATTAATGTACTTTGAGAAATTTTAAGGGCACTTTTAATAACTTTATAGTATTATCACAGCATTTATGTTCAGTATTGAGATTTGTATTTCTCTATTGTTTTAAACTCAAGTATATTTTTTATAGGAACAAAATTATGTACAATCACGGAATAAGCGTTTAAGTTGGCTACTAATATTCTATGGGTTATAACATAATTTTTTTTATTAAAGTAAGTGATCTTTTTATTAAAATAAGTGATCTTTTGCCTGAGTATCACAGTTAAAAAGTCAGGTTAGTTTTTTGAATAAGTGATTATTTTATTTATAAAATAAATAATGATTTTTTAAAAAAGAGACAGCCACCAAATATTTAGTTTAGTTCCTCTATTCTGGACATTGAAAGAGATAATATTTACATCCTTGGGGAGAGAAGTCAGTGTTCAAGAGGTGATAGAAGCAATGTTTTTAGTAATAAGAAATATTTAAAGCATCTTTCAAAGAGAAAGAATTTTACCTTCACAGAATTTTTTTCCATATAAGACCAAACAATGGTTCTATATCAGTAACTTTTAGAACTTAGAGGAAAAAAGTAAATGGTATTATGGCTAGCCTGGAACCAAGTAGGTCTTTCAATCTTGTAAACATTAATTTTTGTGTTGAGAGAAATAAAAAATAACAGTATTTCAGAAGCACCTGACACAAATTCCAGAATTAACCAAAGAATTGTTTATTTCAAAAATCAGAAGTCAATTTACAAATGTATTCTTCAGCAATGGGGAATTTCTTTAGATATATTTATGTCAGATGAATTTGTACTTATATACAGCCTTCCTTTCCAAAATAAATGTTTTGTAAGAAAATAATGGCTGAAAGACAACTAATTTCTTCAAATATATTTTGAAGTTCTCCTAGAGAGCTGTGTTTGTAATCACTTTCACAATTTTTAAAACAGTTTCACATTGTTAAAGTTAGAATAAAGTTTCCATTTCTTCTTAATATTAGTGCAAGACTTTATAGGTTCTTTTGGTATTTAATATTTAATAAAATGAATATTAAACTTAAATTACTTACATACCTGGAAGAAGAAATAATGTGTGCTTTATTTTAAAAAATGAAATAAGTTTTTGTTTTTTCTTATTATAATTTTTTAATATATAAAACTTAGGCTGGGGGTGTAGCTCAATGGCAGATTGCTAACATGTGTGAGGCACTGGGTTCAAGTGTCAACACCACATAAAAATAAATAAATAAAGGTATTGTGTCCATCTACAACTAAATAATAATAATAAAAAACCTTAATGGGGAAATGAAAGGCTGTTTATTTTTATGTTTTTTTGGACTTCAAGTAAGTGTTTAAAGCTAATATCTTCAAAATGGCTTGATAAATTAGATGACCTTGAACTTTCCTCTCCATGCTGAGCCTACAGTTCTCAATGAATAAGGAATTATTTGAAGAAAAACTACTGTTCCTTCTCCAATCTTTCCATCTTGGTCTGACTTAGTTAGTATCTATAACTTCTTTTTAAAAGGCTCAGTAGCAGATTTTTATGATATATTCTTACATCCAGGTTCACTTACTGAATCCATGGGACTTCACATTTGCATATATTCTTTTCTTGTGCCAGCAGTATTTGTATCTGATTTTAGTTTATATTTTTCTCAAGTATTAAAATTTTAACATAATCCAAGGTCTCAGTTTACTTTTTTTGATGTATTCTGAATACATTCTAATCACTTGATTCATATGTGAAGTTGCATACATGAAGCATTCATAATTTGAGAATAGCTCTTTGGCTAATTAAAATGCCCCCTTTATACTTATCGAATATATTTTATGGTTTCTAAGATTATAAGATGTTGCCATTAAGCAACAGTATTGTTCTCCCAAATTTCTGTATCTGCTAGAAGTTTGCTCCAGAAAGGCCRGACTCTTATTTAATAAATTTATTGTATTAAATTCTTTAGGTCACACTAKCATTGTATTCACAGAAGTCTTCTGATAATAGAAATTTCCAGATTTCTATTATCCAGAATATTCTTACTTCACACTTTTGTGAAGTAAGAAYATTCTGGAAAAACTCATCTTTTTCCTATATTCAAGACAGCAGTTATAAAAAGCATTGATTTAATATGTATTTCCTATGATATTTTCAAGAAGAAAACACACAACTTACACAGAATTTTCATATTTTCCTAACCTTTTGGAGAATATAGACATTTTAAATTTAGATTCATTTTATAAAATTTTGGAGAATATTATAAAATATTAAAGCATTTTCCAGTAAATCTGAAAATACAAAAATTCATGTTATTACATTAAGCTGTTATACAGTAGACATACAATTTTGTCCTTGTATAAAAACACAAAAGACTCGATCTTGATGAAACAATACATTTTAAAGATTTAATCTATAAACAATTTAATCATAAACAGATTATTAATATTGGTATAGCCATAAAATACCATACAGTTATTGAAAATTATATAGATGTTAATTTATTTTAAAGTAGTACATTTGGAAATGAAGTAATTTGTTTTGAAAGACTGCAATGATAAACCATGAATACATAATAGTTCTAATTTTCTGCCTTTGGCCAGGGATACCATACTGCCTGTTATAGGATATAGTCTCCCTAAGTGTTTATCTGTTATAATTTACCTCTTGTGGCTAGTCTCTTAGGGTTTTCTATAATACATTTTATTGAAAACAACTGATTTTCTTAAGTTACTTTAAATTGTTTCTCAAATTATCATATGGAAAGGAACAAATAAAGTGAATGAATTGAAGTTGGATGTGACTACTAAAGATGTCCAATAGTCAAYTGTGGCAAGTGTTGAAATGCTTCTGAATCTACTCAGATTGCTTAGTAATACTGCTTAGTGTGGAGGATGCCTTGGGAGATGGATAAATAGGACAGTCATGGTATTTAAGACACTTGGGTTTATGTGGTGCTTCAGAAGTTACAAAACACTTCTAATTACATAACATTGAATCTTCCCAACAATTTAGTGAGATAGATATTATCTTTGTTAGAATATAAAGCGGGATTTTCAGCTATTCTGTTTAACATTGCATTCCCAAGGTCTAAACCAATGCCTGTTATATAATAGGCATTCAATAATTATTTGTTAATGGATAAATGAATGAACTCACTTTTTATAAATGGAGAAACTAAGCCTCAAGAGAACTGGCAGTGAACGCAAAAAATACCTATTGGAATTGATTAATTGAATCTTGGTGACTTTGCTTATACTTTCCCATAAATTGTTTAGTTGCTTCATGTTAATGTGATTCAGAAAATAGGATTTATTTGACATTTAAAAAAAATCTATAATATCATTCCCTATTTTTTTCATTATTTCTTAGAAAAATCTTGATGTAATTGTTTATTATTGTAGATATAAAAATTTAGAGATTGATTAAAGACCATATTTTTAGTTTAATAGTGGTTATGTTTTTAGTTTAATTGGTGGTTATAAAGCACCTTGAAATGTTTACTGGATTATTCTTGGAACAATGGAATAGTTGCCCTCAATTCTTAGGTCAGTACAATAAAATAAATTTCATGACAATGCAATGGAGATAGATGTTGATAAAAGGTAATGTAGGTGGTCCTAGAACTTCCTCTTTAAAAAAATATTTAAAAATGATTGTYCTCTGAGCCAGCAGGTTTCAGCTTTTTCCAAAGGGAATAAATTGAAATTTTCACACAGCCTTGAGAATGTGATACAGAGTTGTGTTATGTAGATCCTTTCAATTATTCATTGCACCATGCTGTGTTCAGGAATCCAATAAATAATTGTTGAAGGATAGATCAAACTGTGGTATATATTGAAAAAGGAGTAGAATATGATGTTTTCAATTTTATTGTACTCCCAAGCATTGAAATATATTGGAGGCAAGTATCTTCAAACTGCTATTTGCCATAGTTTCTGTTTACCT